CCCCTACAAAATTCCCCATAAGGAATGGTGTTGTTGTCATTTTGCATATAAGAAAATTAGACATGGAAAATGAACAAATAAGCAGACATGTGGGATCATCTCTCTTTTGGAGAAAGAATAGTCAACACCATTGAACAGGTCATGCCCAATTGACTTTTGAAAACTCAGGAAGGCAAATAACTGGTCTGTCTCAGAGTGAGTGACAAGTCCTTCTAGTGGTCAGATCTCTTTGTTTTTGTCCTCTTCACACTCTGTGGACTCAGAGCCCCAGGCTGCTCCTCTGTGTGTCTCTGCCTAGAAAACTCTTCACCCAGGAACTGGGCAGATCCTCTCCCTACCTCCTTCAGGTCTTTGCTCAAATGTCTCCTTATGAGACCTTCCTTGACTACTGTAGTGAAACTCAATCCCCGCATCCTCCAGGATTCCCTTTTCCCATTCCCGTTTTAATTTTCTCTATAGAACTTACCACTTGTTAAATTAATACCATTATGTTTATTTTTGAGACTTCCTCCACTGGAATGTATGCCACACTAGGACAGGATTTTGCCCATTATGTTTACTAGTACATTGTCAGCACTCAATAAATAGTCATGGAATGCATTAATAAATAAATAAAGACCTTTATTCATTCATTTATTCAAGAGACATTGAATATACATTGGATGAGCAGCCCCCATACTATGTATGAACACTTGGAGGAGAAAGGGTAATAAATACCCAATGCAAATATGAAAATAAATGTCGAAGTCAGGAGTGCAATATAGAATAGTATAAATTAGATGTCCTCATTTCTATGTCACTGAAGAAGTCCAGATTGAGACAAGGAGAGATCTGTAAGCCAGCATCAGCCAGGAAAACATAGGTAAGGAATTCCAGAGACAAAATCTTTCAGGGCAGCAGCCTATGACATGGGTTAGGACCAAGCAATACACTAGTTCTCAATTCCTATGCAACTTTTTTGCATGTTTTGGAGTAAATTATATTAATATTTCAATTTGGTCATATAATAGTTTAAACTACTTAGATCATTTCAACTGCCTGGTATTTTATGCCTAATGCTGGCAGCTCAGTTCAGGAGATCAGTTAGGTAAAAAAAAAAAAAATGAATAACACTGCTCACCATTAGTGCTTAACTTGTGGCAGCTGACATGTGGTGCTTTCAATTCATTTATTTGTTTGAAATTTAAACAAAATCCTGATTAGGAAATGTTTATTAAAATCTTAGGGAAACCCCTAAATAAAGGAAAGGATTATCATCACCAGCATCAGTTGGAAATGAAGTCATTTTTCAACGACTTGAAAACATCATTCTGAGTCTCCATAAGTCATACACTTTGCCTTCAAAAGTACAGTCAGTACAATGCACATTAATGCCACCAAGATTAAAGCAGGAGCTAATCCTGAAAAGAAGTGGCACTGACTTTGTGTGCTAGAGTTACTATAAGGGGGACTGGGTGTGGCAAAACCGTAAGCTGAAGGTCAACGATGCTCAAGATTCAGCTGTGCACTTTAGTTTGTTCCATGCATAGGCACTGAGAACATATTTTTACCCACTGATCTGTTTCATATTAATTTTATTGAGACTTAAAAAAATAACCAATCCTTCAACAAAGTTGTAAAGTATCTATCCTTATAAATATTTTCTCATGAGAACATTCATTTTAATTTAAACTTTACAAAAAATACCACAACTTTTCAGATAAATTAGCAAACAGATGGTTCAGGCTGAATGTCTAGGAGGAACCTTTATATTGCAGTTGCAAATATATCTATCATCCAGATCAGAGGTCCACAAACTGTAGCTCCATCTCACAAATTTGACTGCCATCTATTTTTATAAAGGTTTTACAGAAACACTGCCATAGCTATTCATTGGTGTGTTGTCTATTGTCTAAGCTGCTTTCACTGCAATAGCAGGGTTGAATGGTCGAGACAGGGCAGTGTAGCCTACAAAACTTAAGATACTTGCTATCCAGCTCTTTGGGAAAAAAAAAAAGTTTGCCAGCTCCTGAACTAGTAGAAGGAATTCCTGTTACAATGTCTGTAATTCTGAATACTCTTTAGCTGATCCATTCCTCCAGGATAGCCTGAGCAATAGCATCCATAATACATTACTCAAAAATGTCAATGTGGTTTTGTGATTATACATCATTCTGATTGTTACCATTTCCCCCATTATGCTAACTTCTGCTAAATGAAGATGTTATTCTGTAAAATAGAATTATGAAACAATTTAGACAGCAAGTGTGACAGCCTATGGCAAGACGATGAAATCCAGTGAAAGTGAAGCGGCTAATAAAATGAGGGTGGGGTTAAACTGACTGCATCTTCTTAAGTCCATATATTTCACAGCTGTGGTGCTAAGAGACAGACTGCCTGCATTGCCACAGGGAGGCCAAGCCAAGCACAAATGAGAGCATGAGGAAATTTTTCTAGTGAAAAATATTTTTCCTTACAAATTTGAAATATTTTCCTTTTTATGTTATATTCTCCCTCCCCCTTCTCGTTTTTCCTTTCAAAATAGCATGGCTTCATTCTCTGCCAAAAGTATTTTCTCCTTTTTGGTTTCCACCCAAATGAAAAAGAAATTCCTTCACCTGGTTCACATGGACTGTTTCACCAGCTAAGCATGCATGGTGAATGAAAGAAGTAGCAATGTTTGAGTTTTTTCCAGTGGATGAAAATGGAAAAATTGCCAAACTGAAATTAATTTTTGAACATTTTTTTCCCATAATTAAAGTCAGAAGCATCAATAAACACAGCAATTTTACAGCAATGGAGAGGTTCTCAGCCTGTGGACCTTTGTATACTTCATGAGATCCATGCATGGCCATGGATCTAAGCTGGGACAGGTCACTCTACTTTTTTGGGAGGTGAGGGAGGTTGTTAGCAGGACTCTCTGACAGGAGTAGTAACTGCGGTTGGCAGGGCTCTTCAGAGGACTGAAGGGAACTGAACTGAACTGTAAATCCCCTCTAAGTAGTAGATGTTGCTGTTGTCATCAAAACCTCCTGAGAATCTGCACCACAGCCCTGAGATGGCGACAGAAATGAAAAGTAAATTCAAGAATTTCTGTTACTCTTTAAAAGCCCCCCTCGGCACAAGTCTTTCAGGGTAAAAAGTTAAAATTAAATGAGGCTTCTGGTGTTTTGCGGGCTTCAGTGTCAAATCAGCCCAAGAGCTATAATCATTTTGTCCCTCTCTCTTAGCAGTGGTTACACTCAGGTTGGCATGAGATAAAATCTTGCTGTGCACACTGAACTCAATTGCCCATTTGTCAGGGTTACTCCAAAGTTCAAGTGCCTTGGGCCACTTTCATTAAAAAAAAAAAAATTCTTGGTATGTTCAAAAGTGAAGAAATGCAAAATAGAGTTACGAATGTCATGTTGCATTTTTAATGTTTATATTTAAGAAATTAGTACTTTTAGCACATGGATTCAAGTAAGTATGATGTATAAACATGACATACATAAGCAGTATGGATAGGGTACACTGTAGACAGTGGGACCCAAGCTAAAGGTTGTGCGAGGATGACTCCTTCCAGTCCTATGAGTGAATGTTGCTACACATATAATCTCATTCAGGAATGATGCCAAAAATCTGTATCTGCAACCCTGTCGGAAAACTCCTGCCTTTCCTCTTGCAGTTCCTCATTCCATCCTCACTGTGACAGACTCTTAGTCTGCAGTTATGACTCTGGGGAAGCTGGGAGGAAAGAGACAAGGAATGGTAGAGAGGTACATTGTATAATACTTTCTCAGATATTTTTCAAATGCTTACTATATGTATAGATAAGAAAATCACTGCTTGTTATAAGATTTAAAAGGACTTATACAGTACATATAAAATTATATGTGCCTCCTTGCACAGTGAACAAACAATACAGAAAGTTCTTGCCCTCAGGAAACTTAAACTCCAGCTCCCTCTATCCATTCCCCACTCCGCAAATTCATCTACCTCACCTACCTGAAACAATTGCCTGGCAATATCTAAAGATATTGGGTAAAACATGGGGGAATGCTACTCCACTGGAAGAAAAAAATGATCTGTACTAAGGAAACACTCTTAGGAATTCAATAATCAACTATTCAACAAGCAACGGTATGTGTTAGACTCTAAGAGCTGCTTATATTGTAATGAACAAGCTAATGTGGTTCCATACTCACAGATAGGAAAGATATTACATATATAAATTATTTTGCATAATGTGAAATTTTCTGCTGAAGTATGAAATGCATGCAGAAAGGAAATAAATAATTAAGTGTTCAGCTCCACTCATTTTCTCACAATGAACACATACATATGATTAGTACCCGGATCAGTAATCAGAACCTCACCAGCACCCCAAATGCCTCCTTGTTTCTCCTTCCTCTCCCGGTAACCCCTGTGGGTAAGTGCTATTCTGATTTCACAGATTACTTTTGTTTGTTCTTAAACTTTATAAGAAGGAGATCATGACATGTTCTTTTTTGACTGACTCTTTTTACTCCACACTATTGTGAAATTCATTCTTCTTTTGTGTATAGCTGTTGTTTGTTTATGCTCATTCCTTTATATTATCCTATTGTAGGAATATACCATGATTTTTTAAATCCATTTCACTGTTAATGGATAGTTGGATTTTTTTCCAGCTTGGGAATATAATGAATAATGCTGAGTTAGCATTCATGTAAATGCCATTTGTTAGATAGATTCATACATTTCTGTTGAGTTTATACTTAGGAGTGGAATTACTTTCAATTATGGGTATGCCTAATTTTATTGGGCAAGAAATAGTCAAACAGAATCCCAAAGCAGTTGTAATAATTTTCACTCTGGTCAACAAAGTATGAGAATTCTGGTTGACCTACATTGTCTGTTTCTCTATTTCAGCCATTTTGGATACTATGTTGTATTTTTTTGCATTAGGATTTTAATCTGCATTTCCCCACTGGCTAATGATGACAGGTGCCTAAACATATAATTATATAAACATATAACTATTTTCTGTTTGGGGATATTCTCTTGTGGAGTATCTATTATGATATTCGCCCTTTTTTCTATTGAGTTCTCTTCCTTTTTCTTATTGATTCAAAGGAGTGTTTCCTATGCTCCCTGTAAGAGCCCTGTGTCAGAATATGTATTGAAACTCCCTTCTCTCAGTCTATGGTTTACCTTTTTACTCTCTTAATGGGTTTTGAAGAACTGAAGTTCTTAACTTTGATTTCATTCCATTGATCAATACCTCTCCCCTTGATGGTTATTGCTCTTTGTGTCTTAGGAAGTCATTTCTGGAGGAGGATCTTGTGGAAGTGGCCAGCTCAAGTCTGAGGGATTATTATACATCACGTTACCTACAGCAGCAGACAGCTCAGTTTGTATGCTAAAATTACCCAAGAAACAGCAAGGCAAGAGGTCTGCTTGTGCCTTCTCTATGAAGATATGTGGAAGTAGCAATACAAAAGAAAATCCAGAAGCCCCTGCAAAGTGCATTTTCCAATATTGCTATGAAAGGTGGAGTATAATGTGTAAGAAAGAAAAATACAAATTTGATGAAATGGAAAGTAGTCTATGAGCAGGGTATGAAGGGCTGTAGGCCAGCTAAGGGAAGCAAGGAGCATGATCATAACACCCCAGATATCTTTATGCCTCATCTGCCTTCTTTCCTCTTCTACTTTGATCTCTGCCCATGATCAAATCCACAAATCAGGATATTTCCACCTAAGATATAGCCAAAAAACTGGTGGCAGTGTGATCAAATCCTAGAGTGCTCCCATAAAGATGTCTCACCTGTGAATACAGCCTTGTGATTGTGTCATATCTGATGGCAAAGTTGGCCTAAAGATGGGAGAAGCTAACCTGGGTGTGTCTGATTTAATCACAGGAGACCTTTCAGAGGGCTTTTCCATCTGGAGACTGATGTCAGAGAGATATGAAGAGTGAAGGGGATTTGACTTGAAGATGCAGGAGGCCACACAAGAAAGAATTCAAACAATCTTAAAGAGAAAGGCATCCTGGCCAACAACCATCAAGGAAGCCAGGCTGTTAGTCCTATGACTACAAGAGACTGAATTCTGCCCATGACCTCAGTGGGCCTGGAAGTGATGTCCACTCAGAGTCTGCAGATGAAGGCTCAGCTTGGCTCACAGCTTGAGTCCCTCTTTATGATCCCTGGAACAGAGAATGGAGCGACACTGAGCAGGACTTCCAGCCTACAGGACTGTGAATTAATAAACAGATGTTGTTAGAAGCTTCTAAGTGTATGGTAATTTGTTGCACAGTGAGAGACACATAAAATGAGAAGTAATTTGAGTGACAGTGAAGAGTCATCTTATGAGCCAGCAAATGTGAAGATGTCTGAGAAGGATGTTGCCAACTGTGGTCTAAAGGAAAGTGAAGGGATAAAGGGATCATCTAACATTTTCTGGGGGGAAGAGGGGGAGAAGTGGAGGAGTAAGAAGACGAATATAAGAAAGAAATCAGGAGCAGGGAAATAGGAGTAGAATGAATGAAACCACATGTCTGTCTGCATGTGAATATATGTAGGACAAGTGCAGGAAGAGTTGGCTGCCCTTACCGAGTTTCATTCCATAATTAGAAAATGATCACATTGTAATCTTTGAAGTGCTCGGAAACTGCAAGTGGTTTCCATGTTGCTTTCAAGGGTGTCACAAGCACGGAGAAAAATCTTATCAGAATCATCTATATTTCTAAATTATCCATTTTCATTTTTAAAGTGAAAAGACACTCTTGTCCTCACTTCATGAACATGGAAATCCATGTGAGAGGACGAGTAACATGTTTCTGGAATTTTAAGCAATTTATTTGACAAGTAATGTTATTGATTAAAAATCCTGAATTCTCGATTGTACAGGTTTATAGTTTATTAAAAATAAAAAGACAATCATGCTTGGTGGTGTGATACAGTGGGAGGTAGCGCATTTTTGAATTGTAATTGTATAAAGTTATGAGGAAAAAGAAAGCTATTTCAAGAAGGAATATTAGGCATCTCCAGTGCCTTGTCTTCTGTGGAAATGTTTATATTTGTCATTGGTGCACCTGAGCCTTGAGTGCAAAGGCAGGAGGTAGCAAGAGAAGCCAGCCACTCAGCATCTGATCCCGCTTTCCCCACCAGTCCTTCCTGTGTAACAAGTCACTTCTCTAGGTCTCACTTTCCCTGACTCTGGCATTTATTCTTCAGCTCAAAAGAATGATCTTCTCAAGTGCTTTAAAACTTTGGAACAAAAGGCAGCCTCTGGCTGACTTGGCTCATGTAAAAAGAGGTTGTATATAAATTCCCTTAATACCTTTAAAATAGTGTGTGTATCTTTGAAAACCCAAGACAGTATTCCCATAGGGCCACATAGTCCCTAAAGCTACCAAGTCATAATCTCTAAAGAAAGGATATGACATTTGTCACTCTGTTTTCACACAATTTTTTTCCATGATTGCTTCCATGTCCACTCCCACAGCTTTGATATGAACGCAGATTTATATAAGCAGTCATTTGCATAAAATGAAATCAAAAGTCCTAGGTTAATACTATGGTAGGATTAACTTGATAATACTTAGTGTCCTAAGAAGGAGTAGAGTTCAGTGTTACTTATTTTCTGTCTCCTGCTTGAATTTGCAACTGATAATGCCATGTGATCAAAGAAGGAATTTTTATCCAGGTGAGGTGGTATAAGCCTATAATCCCAGTGACTCAGGAGACTGAGGCAGGAGGATCACAAGTTCAAAGCCAGTCTCAGCAATGGCAAGGTGCTAAGCAACTCAGTGAGACCCTGTCTCTAAATAAAATACAAATAGGGCTGGGGATGTGGCTCAGTGGTCAAGTTCCCCTGGGTTCAATCTCCGGTACCCGCCCCCCACCAAAAAAGGAGTTTTCAAAAACAGCTCAGGGATGGATGAACATGGAGGCAGGCTGGCCATCTTTATCCTTAGATTAAAGAGAGGGCTGAATTGTGTCTCCTGCCAGCTGTCTTCCAACTGATGAAATTGTGTAATTGTGTAGGACAGCAGGGACTTTAGAAAATCTGAGTGATCACCCCTTTGGGAGAATAAAATGCATAAATAATTAACTGAAATTCCCTTTTAAAGTAGGGTCAAAAGAAAATGAATGCTGTCTGGATGGGAGTCAACATCCAGAGATAACCTCCACTAATAGAGGATATGATGGTTCAGAAGATAAACAAGAGAGAGTGTAGGAGAACTACAAGAAAAACAAATGAAGCGAAATAGGGAGGGTTACCAGACAGGATGAGTTGGGAGGAAACAACTACTTGGGGACCAGCCAGGGAAAATTTGGCAAGGAGGGGAAGAACATAGGGAAACACACACACACACACACACACACACACACACACAATCACTCAAACCCATAACCTTGTGTGAGGACCAGGTTTGGGTGTGGGGGGATTAGCACTCATGAGAAAAGCAGAAAAGCATCTTATGCAAGGGATGGGACCTTGACTTCTACATTTAAGGCAAGGGAACACCATATGAGGGGTCTGGTCAAAGAAAGGAGCAGAAACCACCATGCAGAAGAAAATAGCCCCAAACAGAAGTGCCAGTGCTCCTGTAGGAGGTCTGTCAACTGAGACCCCACTTTCTCTCCATCCTTTGAGTTCTCATCCTTATCCTTTCATATCCTTTTTTCAGATTTCAGATTTTTGTCCTGATTTTCCATTCTTTCCTGATACTTTGTCATTTTTTTTTTCACTTTTGATATTTCTTACTCTATCCAATTGCCCCGAGGAGTAGACATTAGAAATAGGATAAAATAAAACACAAAGGTGAAGATATTACATATTATAAATAGCTTATTATTTGCCATGTAATACATAAATGTTCTGTATTCTACATTTTACATGTTCATGTGTAATATTAGCTTAGCAGATGGAGATGGCGTATGCCATTCTTGAGGGTCTCTTATGTTTATCATGAGATATGAATGGACTCTGGATTTGAATTTTATCTTGGCACTTGTGTCTCACAGTTATTTTATTTTTATTTTTTTGGCACCCATTCTCACTAACTTGCCCAGGCTGGCCTAGAACTCCTGGGCTCAAGTGATTTTCCCTGTCAGCTTCCTGCATAGCTGGAACTACAGGCATACACCTCAAACCAGCTAGCATTGTGTGTGTGTATGTGTGGTAAGGCCTCATGCATGCTAGACAAACCCTAAACTATAAACCCAGCACCAATTCCAACCATTTTTAAGACCAACTTAGTAAGAACCTCAGCAACATAGCAAGACCCTATCATAAAATAAAAAATGAAAAGGGCTGGAGAAGTAACTCAGTGGTAAAGTGCCCCTGGATTCAATCCCCAGTACCTTTTTTTTTTTTTAATTTGAGAGAGGGTCTTGCTAAATGGCCCAGGCTGGACTTCACCTTGCCATCCTTTTGCCTCAGCTTCCTGAGTAGCTGGGATTATAGGCATGTGCCACCACACCCAGCTCTGGCTACTATACTTTTAAAGATATCTAACTCTTGCTGGATTTCAGAATATCCATTCCCAAATCTGTATAATTATTATTATTTTGTTATTATTTTGAAAAATTAATTTCATATAGTATAGCATGATGAAACTGTCAAGGTTGTAATCATAAATATAATGATACTTGGTACTTTTAAAGTGACTTGCACTACTAGAGCCTGGATTTCTCAAAGATTCTTGCAAGCTAGGCAAACACTATGAACTAGTGATTTATAGCCCCCCAAAATAAATAAATAAAATATAGAGAATTTAGGAACTTGGGCCAGTGCCTTACAGCAAGTCAGAAATAAAGCTGGAATTTAAGGGAAATATGTTGTACTTGACATTGGATTTCCTGTGCTGGGAAACATTATGAAATAAAGGGGAAAATTATTAATTAGAGTTAGGAGGTATTTAAATCACGTTTATATATTTACCCAATTAAAAGCTAATATTTCATAAGTAATGCCATTTTGAATAGTACTATTAAAAAGAAATGTGGTTTTTGTTTTAATAATTTGCTTTTTGATCTTTCATAATTAAAATCTGTCCATAAAATTATAAATTTTCATTGTTTTAAGTGTAAGAGTGGAGAAAATGAAATGAGCTTAAGGATGACTAATAAACTTGTTTTGTTCAAGTGCAGATTTATTCTGGCAAATTCCATACTAGCTGTCATCTACCTTTTTGGAAAGAAGACAGATTAGTTAAGGTGACATGTACAATTTTCAAGAAGGTTTTAAGTTGCTATTAAAGATAGAGCTGTGTGCTTTATATTTTAAAAGGTGGTTGTGCAACAGTCAGGTATAAGAAATTCAGATTCCTGGGTCTTCTAAGAAGGCAAGCTTGAGGGGAGGTTCCTAGGTTGATGGAATTTTATTGACCAGTCTAGAGACTGATTGAGAAATGAGATATCAAGCTGTTATGAAGGATGAGGAGGCAAAGGAGAGAGTGAGTAGGGATTAGGGATCTGGAACTTAATCTGGTATTTGCTCTAAAGTTATGTCAGAGGCAGAGGCATAAAAACAACCAATTAAAATAGACTTTTGATATCCCACCTGTCACTTTCCACCTACACTCATGAATTCTAGACTGCATATGTAAAGTTCTGTGTCTCTTTGCAACCCACAAGTCTTAACAGCAGGGTGTATTGATGTTGGTTTGAATTTTTCATCCTGTACTGTCTGAGTGGCTTTCAGTGAGGCACTTCACCTCTGTGGGCCCAAGTTTGTCTTCTATACAAGGGGGATCACCTTAACGCCCCATACAATTGTCACTTCATTTAAGTGAGATACTGGATCTGGCAGAGGTGCTTTGTAAACTATAAAGTACAGTGGAAATGTAGTTCTCTCTTCAGTAAACAGATGATTCTCAGTGTCCTTCCATCACATGTACCCTGATGCCTCCTCGCCTGGCCTCCCTTTTGCGTCTAGTAGCAAACTCCAGAGTGATCTCTTCTAGAAGCTACAAAACACATCTGTCACCAGGGCCAGCTTAATGGGAAGCTGTCATAGACTCTTTACTCAGTGACTGTATGCTGAATTTAATGTCTGCTCTCATCTTTATATTCTTAGGAATTTTTGAACAAGGAGCTTGCATTTTTATTTTGCACTGGGCTATACAAATTGGATAACTAATGTTGCCCATCATTTCTTTCTAATTTATAACAAAATATCTAACTTTAAATTCCTTGGAATTTGCTTTATTTTTATCATCACTTTGATTATCTTTATATAGTCAATAATCTAAATTAAAATTTCTGATGAAAAT